GAGTTTGTCTGCTTAAATATGGAGGTCAAAGTTACACGTCTGCACGTTTCGAAACCACCACACCGTGGCGGCGGGAGACCTTCAACCCTCGACCTACGGAAACCGCCGTGAAAAGCTATCGCGTGCCGGCGCAATCGGCTCGCCGTGATCTCGCGCGAGCGCCTTCGATCGGCTTCTTGTACTTGCGTCGGCACTCGAAGGACAGATTATGTCGAAGCGTGTGGTGGACTCTGACATTTCGGGCCAGGAAGGCGGCGAGCAGAGTTCGCACGCGGCCGGATTAAATTAATGTACCTGCCCGCCGTGAAACTTGACGCTGAAAAATAGCACCCCCTCGCGCGCCGTCATAAATTTCTATTTTACAGACTCTTGGCCGCCGAATTTAATTCGTTGATACGCGATCGTTTGGCCTTTCGTACCTCGAGTCTAACATTCGACAGCGTGATATACGATTGTATGAACGTCGTCGCGACGTTGCATCGTTAATCTCGAAATAATCTGTAAAGATATTTTAAATCCCTACCTTTTTTACTATCGTTGTCTATTGTCGATTACTATCGTACTATGCGGGTCTTGTAGTCTGTGCTTTGACGCGTCGCCCTCGCGTTTAAACAGCACGCGATAACTCAGCCGATACAATTGTGTGGGCGGATAAAGGTAAACTGCATTCGTTATTCCGTGTTCGTTTCGCGCGAGCCGCGTTGCAAAAATTTTACCGCTTTCGCAATTTAACGAGCTGGGGCCTGCTCGAACGAACGAACGAACGAACGAACGAGCGAGCGACGCATCTCGCGCTACCACAATTTCGGCAGCCGGTGTCGATCAACCCTCTCTGAGAGCTTATCCGCTCTGAACCAGCAAGGTACTCTCTTAAAAAAAAAAAAAAAAAAAAAAACCGGCCAGACATTTTCTCGTTGGTGGCAATCGAATTCGCCATCCCTATCGGTCCGATAATACTTCGTTGCCGTGCGTCGCGTTGCTTTGACAGCGCCGATGATGCACCACGACGATGCAACCCCCGGTCGATCGTCCCGCTGCTAAACTCGCAGCTTTGTCCCGCGTTGGAAAAAAAGAGAAGGGAGAAAGAGAGACGCGGCAAGAAATAAAACAAAAACTCTTGGATAAAAATGACGCTACATCGGAGGCGCGATTAAATATCGCGCTCGATGTCCAAAGCGGCGGCGATAGTCATTAATGGGAGACGCGCGCGACACGCGTTACCGGGCTGCCACTCTCGTTAATACAGAGATCTAGCTCGTTGGACAGCGGCTCCCGGTGAAAAAGCGCTTTAATCCGAGCCGCGCTCACGCTCTCGCAGCGCGTTCATCGAGCGCTCCCTTTTTGCACCTTTTTTATTTGTCCGACAATAAAGCAGCTTAATTGCTCCGCCGAGATCGGATGTATTTGAACGAGACGCGGACGTGTTTCGGCACGCGATCCTCCGTGTTCGAAGGGTATTGGAGCCGTGCTATGTACAAATGTCGCTTTCTCTATGTGTATACGACGGGTTATGTATACCTAAATCTAAACGCGAAGCCCCGAAAGCAAGCGAGGTGACAATCATGAGCCATGCTCCGAATGCAAATCGCATCCTTTAAGATCAAAGTCGAGAGACGCTGTAATTGAACGTAGCGTGTAAGAGAGAGAAATATATACTTCGCAGACGTGATGTATACATGCAACAGCAGATTTCATCGCTTCAGCTTCTTTGAGAATGTCGGATTATGTTAATGAATATAAACAATTTATTTATATACTTGACGTAAAAAAAACATTGTCAAGTTTTGCAACTTCACGAAGCGTTAATCTCGAGAGGGAAGCCGATGTCATTCCGCGATATCATCACGAGTGAGTAACCCGCGTGAAACGATCTAAAACTGATTGCACAGAGTACTGCATGGCGGAGCAACAACAGTGTTAGTACCCGTTAACGTCGAGAATTTCGACAGTTTCAGCGGGTCAAGTGAGATTAAACGAGAATTCGGTCGAGAGGAAAAGAGGGGGAGGGAGAATTGCGATGAAACGGAGGGCTATTCGCGGCCGCTGCGAGCAACACAATGCATTTTTCTCTTCGCGCCCATTCAACGCGAGACTCTCTAAATGTTTAGCCGCGATACAACTGACGGGAGAAAGCTTCCTCGAATAATGGAATAGAGTGTACGAAGAATAATTATATTATATAGATTAAATTTTCAAATAAAATCGTCCCTCGATCAGATTTTTTTCTCTCGTTAATATGGTTTTATCTGAAAATTTTCTAACCGATAAATGATTTTCAAGCTTATGATATACCCTGCATTCGCGTTATATATCTTATGAAGCACCGCACGTGGAATTTTTCCGAGGCTCTAGTCGCTAATTAAATAAATTCGTCGAACAAAGGCACGTCATCGTCGTCGTCGTGATTTCTTCGTCCATCCTGAAAGTCTCATCAGATTCTCGATACTTCTGATTACGTGCTCCGCAAAAATTATTGCGCTCGTATAAGAACGGACGAGCGGAAACAATAACCGGACGAGGGTCGCAGATTTAATTACAAGAAATCGCCGAACTTCCACCCGCACTCTCTCTCTCTCTCTCTCTCTTTGTTCTCGGTTCTCTCCCCTTCGTGCCAAACTCCCGCCCGATACCTTAACCTAATTCCACTTAGGTTTTGCCGGCCGACCAAGCGAGCTGCTGTCGAGCGAAGACTAATGTTCATCTAACTGATCGTTTCTCCGCAACACTGACTTATTTCTTGGCGAGAACGAGTCTCGAGGGGAATTTTTCACTCCTCCTGAATTCGCGACGCGACAATTTTACCTGCTTGCATCGGCAGAAAATTAGCTTTGCCAGCTTTCGGCGAATATGGCCGGTCATCTCGTCTCGCGTCGTAAAACTCGAATTGCCGCGATAAACTGCATCCATTGGATCTTAAAGTTGGCGTCATTCACATCATATCGCGTTAGGATTTTATTATATAACTCTGCTTGTAAAAAAGTTGTCGGAAGTTGTAATCAAAATCATACGACAGACCTTACAGTGGCATAATTGAACGACCGAACATTGTGTGCTGCGATAGTTTTTAGAATGCGAAACTCGTAAATAATCGGGAGCAAAAATCGGTATACGATATATAAATTATTGAGAAAAAAGAATGAGTTTCTAGATATATTTCTAGAGCTTATAAATTATATTTTAACTGGACGAGCTTGCTATGCGCGTGATTGACTTTGACGGATATCAAACCTGTCCGCACATTTCCTGGATTGCATCCAAGCGATAATAAAAAAAATCAATGTTAAGAGACGGTCAGCTTCTATCGATCGATGTAGGGTCGCGCGAATTCTTTAATTTGCAAAAAACTCAAGAATCGCGATCAAAATATCTATCGGGAATTAAAATTTTATGCCAACTCGATTCGACTGTCGAGCAAGTTTTTTAAAAGTATAGAAATTGATTAACCAAGCATGAAAATGATTATAATATTGATAAATGTAAAATAATTTATTTATTTCCAGTCGAAGTACGCATAGCTTTTCTGTCAATAATTGTTGCAGATAATTCATTTCAATGAAGAGCGTTTTTAAAGTGTCTGTTTTCATTGCACGATATTCTTGTATAAAAGAGAACAGTCATTTAATATATATTTTTCTAGAATATGTATGCGTCATATTTAAATACTATTTGCTTTCTGAATACCATGCGATATTATGTCAACATATCACCTACTTTTCGTTTAATCTTGTTATGAAAAAATTTGTTATCTATTTTAATTGAGATTATCCCCTTCTTCAATATTTCTATACATATGCAACGTTTTTACGACAATTAGAATGGTAAATATTTATTTATCAGCACACTATATTGGGAGCACAATTTCTCTATTTTTGCTTCAATGTGTGTTTATAATTCTTCCATCATAAAAATCCATTTTTCATGGATTACACACACATTCGATATTTACAAAATGTTTTGACAAATCAACTGAAATGTTTATTCATCGCGAACAATTTTTATCGCTGTCGAAACCGGTTGCAACCCTGTCAAAAATTATGACTGGATCGCAACATTGTCAAAATACAAATCAATCTAAAATCACCTCCGCTAATTAGCAAAAGTTTGCATATGTATCATATATATATATATATATATATATATATATATATATGTTCGAATTCGTATTACTGTTAATTTCGCGAAGTTAATTGCGCGAGACTTTTCGTTCGTGAAATAAAATACAAGCGCGCGGATTTCGGAAACATTGAGATAATTAATATTATTCAACGATGAAATCGTTGTATTATTTTTTTCCATGAATATATATGTAAGCTTCCCAAAATAAACAAAAATATCTTCATTAAATAACACATTAAGTGATAATAATCATACATATTTTAATTATATCTTTATCTAATATTTCTAATCTTTGGCTTTTCATTATTTCGATGAATAGCGTAAGTAATTATCCTCGCAACCTCACCCAAACATTCCACCATCAAAGGAAACGCGAATCTCGAGGCTTCACAGAGATCATTATCGCGAGGCTCGGCGTGTGTAGTTAGGCGACTTGTACGCGTAATTAGTGCTAATTACTCGCAAGAATTGTTGGATCGCACGGGCCTCATCGGCCAAGCGCGTACATCAATTTCCTCTCCCTTTCTCACTTTGGCTGCCCTTTTCGGCCACCCTTCGTGTCGCAAACGGACCTAACCTGCACGACCCGACCGCGTTGCAACCTGCATCCAGCATGGAACGAGGCCATGTGCACTGTCTGGTCAGATAGCGTCGGCGAAGCGAAGGGTCGCGAGGAGCACGAGGGGGAGGTGCGAGGGGTGCACGAGTCGAGGTCGAGGAGGCCGATACCCACTCACCCCCCCTCGCCTCTCGGCCACCCTTTCTGCCCATCGTGCCGCGACCAAGGTTACTCCTTGGAGTCGCGTCGTCAAGAGCGGAAAAAAAGAAGAGACGGGAGAAGACGCGCGGAAAAAGAGAACCGACTGCTGATGCCGGGAGCTTACCGAGGAGCCTGCTAAATCCGGACCCTGAATTCGCCTCTACCTCTCTCGCTCTCTCGCTGGGGTGTGGTTCCTTCGCGTATGGGCGGGGCCAGAATCACCCCACAGGATTAAGGACTTTGGACTTGGCTGATTTCGGGAAACTCGCGCGTCCCTGTACGTGTCGCTTCCGGTGTCTGTCCGCGTGTTCGTGTCGTACCTGGGTGCGGGTGCGCGCGGATGGGTCTCGCCGCGGGATCGACGATGAAGAACGAGAGGCAGAGAAGGAGCAGGGGCGTCAAAAGCGCGCGCGCGTATACGTGTGTCTGTATCTACTTGTGTACGTCTCCCTTTCTTTTATCCTCTTCTCGCGTGTACGCGAATCTCTATACGTATGTACGTGTATATGCGCGCGCGGCCAATTACATGTGTGCGGCGAAATCTGTATCTGTAGCAACGCGAACGCGCGTGTAACAGTGGGACGCGATGACGGTGTAAACGGGTGTACGTTGATGATCGGGACCGACGGGGTGTATGTCTGCGTGTGTAGGTTCTTTGGAAGAGAAGTGGATCAGGATGAGGGGGATCGGCCTAGAGACGAGGTCCTGCCTTCGCTAGGACATTGTTATTCCTAGCATCGCGTCGCAACGAAACCCAGCCGCTGCCAGCTCGATCCTCCCGCGACGATCACCCCCGCCTATCTTCGCCGATGTCGATTCCCCGGGTAGGACCCTCAAAGGCCCTCGCCGCACAAGGATTCCTCGCCGCCTCAGTCACGTGTCTGCTCGCGCCGCGACATTGTGCATCGACGAGAGCCGTTGACGATTATCGCGATTCTCCTCCTTTCGTCCGTCATCGATTCACTCCGGACACGTTAGAGCAGCGGAGCGCGTTGACGAGGCTCTCGCGACATCCGTGATCCCGTTTCGAGGGGGAAAGCGCGCGCTTCGACAACGTCGGGATAACAAACGTTAGATCACTGACTTTCGATGAATGGATTTCGTGGATTAATCTCCGGAGGTGACGAATCTCCCCGAGACTCGCGACCTTCAGCCTCGACCTTCGCGATCGATGGCGGCGCGGGCGAGCCAGCCAAGCGTGTGTGCACTCCTCCGCATCGGCGATCGCCGATGGATCCTTGCTCCGTCACTCGCGTCTCACTGCCGTTCGACTCGCGTCACACACAACCGACACGGCGTACATCTATCCTAGCACTTGACAAACGAGGGAGACGTCCTGTCGCGATTCGACACCGCGGCAAGTTTCTCCTATCGCCTCGCGGCGGGCGGTTTCGCGATCTCGCCCGAACCGTATCTCCGCGAGGGCTACTCGGCGACCGCCAGAATTCGGACGTTCGGAGCGTTCGGAGCCACGAAGAAAGCGCGAAAAGTGGAGCACGGGGCGCCCGCGACGCTCGGACGCTCGAGCGGGCGACGCGACGCGACGCGACGCGACGAGCGGCTCGTGGCGCGTGGATGGAACGCGGTGCCGACGCGCGCGAATTTCACTAGGTCGCTCGTCGCTGCCGATCGCGGTATCCTGAAGAACGCGTAACGCGCCGCGAGGGAGTACACCGAGGTGCCGCTTGCCTGGCGATGCTGCGCGGCGCCATGACAGCGCGTTAGCTTCTCCACCATCGTCCCCACCTAAACAACCCCCACCGCCGTCGCGCCCTTCCACCCTCGTGCCGTCAGCAACCCCCTGCTGTCTTTCGCGTTTACTCCTTTTACCCGCCGCCACCGTCGCCACCACCGCAACGGCGTTCCCCTCGTTCCCCCTCCACGGCTCCGCGATCCCCTACCGCCCCTCGCGGCGAACCGTCCTGCCTCGGCCCCACCAACGCAATATTGATCGGGCGGAAGGGCGGCATCCAGGAGTGTAAAGATTTACCGAGGGCACCCCGGGGCAAACGTCCTTCCTCGTCCCGCCTTTGGCTCTTTTCTGTTTTCTCGGCTTTTCTTTCGTGACTTTTTCAGCTCGTTCTACGAAGGCATCATCCTACAGGATTGTTTTTTCGCGGAGCGCTCTTTGCTTAATATTTTTCCTTCCTCGAGGACGCGCTGTGCTTCCACGGGAAGAAGACGGAATCACGATAGGACGCGGGGATGACTCGCGGGGAAGCTGCACGTGGAGCGCTGCGTGCGGATGAAACTAGAAATTTTGTATTAATTGCGGATTTCGGCGGAACGAAAATACAGTCAAAACATCAAGATTTAACTTTTCAATTTTCAATTGCGTTTAATTCAATAATAAGGTCGATAAATTTTATTGAAAATTGAAACATATTACGTGTCTAGAGAGGGAGGCAAAATATAAATCTTACGTAAAGTATTAATTTAACATGAGATTGAGTCTAGCGCTTTGTATGCAACATAATATTCGATAAATAATGTAACATTAAAAATATATTTTTCAAATTATCTTTAGCTAATTATTCAAGCCATTTCATGGATAGGTTTCAATAACTTTGCCATGTCGTTGATAACTTCATTTCGATTTACGCTAATTTGGGTAGAAAGAAAACTCATTACAGAATTCAGTTTGCTTAGACCACCGCGGATAGGAAGACTTGAGGTTTGTCTTTTAAAACTAACGGATTGGTAAAGGAGGGAAAACTATGTTTTGTTTCGGGATGACGCTCAGTTTTATGGAAACCCTCCCCCTCCCTATCAACTGTGATTAAAGGGCAGAATTAAATCACGTTTCATTCCAACTTTGAGAGTAAACTCGTAGACCGTAAAAACATATTATTCTCCTCTTTCGCACGACGATAAAAATAATCGGCATTTCGAGCGAGCGTATACCGTCATATTATTCTCATCACATGTAACTTTTGGGAAAACAACGTGCGGTCAGAAAATGTAAGCTAAGATCATATTCAAACGTCGTCTTTCGATACTGCAATTGCACCGATCGAGAATCAAGCGCCGAAAGGACGAGGTATTGACCGACTGTTTTACATCCGAGGGATTCGTGCTCGTCGACGAGTAGAAAAGAGAGATGAGCAGAGAGAGAGAGAGATACAATTTTTGAATTTTAATTCAAATACATCTCCTGCGCGCAGTTGTACGTATAACGCGAGAAGTAAACAAACATTTGCATAATAATTTCTTCTCCGAGTGTATATTATTTTCTGCGGCTCTTGGCCGTCGTGTTTGAATATCGAAGGAAGGGGAACCGAAGGCGAGTTCGCGCAAAGTGCGGTGCTAAATTTAATTAAGCACGCGCGAGACTTTGCCCGTCGAAGGAGCCAAGTGTATAGCTCCATTTCTTAATTTATTCATCCTCGGCGGGGGCCGTCGTCGACGTTGGCGGACGTAATTTAGCGAATCTTTCCCTGAAGGTTCCCCATTTAGGTGGCTGCGATAACGTCATCATCCAAGTGTGCGAGTCGTTTTCGCAAATAGAACGCTGTACAATTTTTTCACGGCCGTGCGCACTTTAATTTCGCGTTTACGCTTCGTTTATCAAGCATACGGTCGGTACCTCAATTGAACGATACTCGTTTTCAACTTAACGTTACGTCTTTTTGACAGCGGATTTAATTACGTATAATATAATCTTTGACATGACGAAACGTTCGTTTTGAATTAATATGCATATACGTATAAAGTACACGGACGGGCATAATTACTGTGACTTGCGATCAAAGAAATTATTAGGCCAAAAAATTCACGGTCCGATCTTGCAAAAATATTCATTAGCGCCGTTCGCTAAAACCATTAAGGTTGGCGCCTGAAGCAATAATTCTGCACGTTCTTGGACGAAGTTGATTACATAAAGTACCAGCCTTACATTGAAGTACCAGCCATACATAAAAGTACCAGCCTTATATTGAAGCTCACGTAAGCGTTTTTTTTTTCTTTCGAAAAAAACTTCAATTTCTTGATAGATAAAAATAGTCTGACATTTTATATATTTAGAAAGTGTATATACGCATAAAAATAATTATAACTATTAACGAAAGTGATCATATTTTGAAGTAAATGTTGTTAATATTAATTAACATAAATCAATATTACTTAATTTTAATATTTTAATATAATTTACTAAATCAAGATTTTGCATTACGGAAATATTTCTCTGTCTAATATTATTTTATACTTTATACGCAAGCTGAAATTTTTATAATCGAAATGTAGATACCATAGACATTGCGCATAAATATTGTCGCATATTTCGAGCGTGGGATAAATCGCGCCTGGCGACAAGAGAATGCAAAAACTTTCGCTGTCCTGGCATTCCCGATACAAAAGCGACGCCGCCGACGTCGGAATTGTTTCGAGCGCTTTACAAGAACGGAGAACTTTTCAAGGAGATGATGCTCTGTGCCATCGCGCTGCCTGTTGTTACCTCGATAAATTTCAAATACTCGTCAAGTACTCGCGGAACACGCGAACGAGAGGCACGCATTCGTTAAACGAACGAAACAATCGCGGTTTTTTTCGCGCGTGAATTTTTCGAATTTCAGATTAGCCGAATCCCTCGATATCGCTTCGATTGTGTAGCTGAAATGATCTCTAAACCGAATTCCGGACAAAAGTCAACAGATCGCGGTGAAAAATTTCGAGAGCGCTCGGAACACACTCTTTTCACGTACAGTTTTCAAGTGAATCGGAGCGAATAATTGTCGGGGGATTTATTAGCACACCCAGTTTAGTACATTGTTCGCTATTCCATATATTACAAGATAAAATCAAATTTATATCTAAAAAGTAATATACTGAATATGATTTAACAATTAGATTCTTAAACAAAAATCGATGTATTATTAACTGATATTTATTAACTGACACTTACTCTCAGAGTCCGCTTAATCTCGAATCCTTAGAAGCCGTCTCAGGATCTGAAACAAGAAGAAACAATGGCTGAGCTTAAAGGCGCGATACTGTGGAAGTCGTGTTAGAACTTTCGCAATTTACAGTCTGAAAAATCCTTCCGTAAGAACGATCGCGTGACCAGAGGGAAGGGGAGGGTGTAGACGTAAGGCTGGCGGAAGTAACCGAACACAAAGGCAAGGGTGGACGATGGTGTCGAAGAAGGCGAGAGAAAAGGTGGGAAATGTTATAGCACGAAAGGAAAGGAAAGGGGAAAAAAAAAAGAATTTCCGGCGCGAGAGTCCTCGGACTTTCATCGATTTGGCAATCTGGTTATATCGAGACTTAATCAAAAGAGATCGCCGACTTTTCTTCTCTTCGAGCGCGATCGAGGGGAGATTGCAACTAGAAGGTGGAATGGATAATCGGCACTCGACGGTGTAATCGACTTTAGTCGATCGACTACATTGAGATCGATCAATTACATTGATTTGAGATTTGTTTATGGATCTTTTGTAGGGGAAAATTAAACTTGAGATTCGAAAATTTTCCCAGTTTAACGCTGCGAGAACTTTCAAAGCTTCAATATTAACTTTTTATGACTGGAAAGACGTAAGCTCGAGATATGCGTATCCTACTCCCTCGTACTAAGATCGTAACTATGAAAAACTTGGTGCATCAGTTTCGACGCCATTCCAGGGATTACAACGCGCATTAACGGCATTTCTTTCGGGAGAGCGGAGCGCGTAGGATAAGAGAAAGATGGCGGGAACGCGGTCGATATACTTGTCACGGCCAGACTATTCAGTCGTTAGAAGGAAAAAAAGTGGAGAGAACGAGACTGCGGGAGCAAAGCTCTGGATATTCGGATGAAAACTGTGTCGAGAAGGGATAGACTGGCAGTAAGAGTGGAAAATGGAGGACTTAAAAAGTAGAAATCTTGCCGTTCGTTCGCTTTTTTCGCCTCTTTTTCAAAGTCCCAATAATGCATCTAGTATTTTATTATTTCAAAATGTTGGAACATTACGCGCGCGCGTTTCCCGGTATTAATGTATATTTTCTCGATAGAAAAATGCCCTCACAAAGAGGGCCGATAATAAAATAATTCACGTCGCCGCCATTCGCGAGTATCGATCTGTTTAGGGAGGAGAACTCGGTCACGAAAGTCCGTAAATCGCGCCGCGCCGTAGATTATTCGCTCGGAATCGCCGCAGAATATTTGGTCGCTGGAAATAAATGCAACGTTTTTTTCGCGACACAACAGAACTTTCAAGTACGACGGCGCGAGCGGTTTCGTTGTCCGGCAGGGAAATGTCAACTGTAAATTGTTAAATAGCTACATTTAACGAACCTGCCAGACGAATGTAAAGAAAACCAAATATAATCTATAAAAATCACGTGCGAATTTGTTGAAATAAAAGTATTTTTGTATAAAAATTGTCATGCATGTCGATGATCTCGCGAATAGATTGCAATTCATTGTATTAATTTCCTGCAATTCCTCGCTATCAAATGTTGTATTCAAACTGCACTAAATGGCAATACAATGATAGCTAAAATAATATACGTATTCATTGTTCCTGCTATTAAAATTTTAATTAGACGCTTAGTTATCGAAATATAATAGAAATGAAGATGCGCCAAAATGTTTTACCAAGACACACAACACGAGTTATTAACTGTAAACTCTGCATTTGAGAGTGACAATAATACTGAACCATAATACTGCATAAAAAATAGTGACAAAACTCTAACTTTACGAAGAATAC